CACAATTAGCCTTTATCAGTACAAAATGTCGGTGTCAGCTAGGTCATCTCCTGGTAGCCACCACGTCTTCTTCTGTGGAGACACATGTTCACAGCATTGACTAGTGCCACTCTACAGCCATGTGGGTTGGAGTGGTATCCACAACGTCTCATAGTGTAGGAAGTCAGTTTATAGCCAGCCCACACAAACACCAGGATGTGAGACATGAGAGGAATGAGGATAAAGATCAGTTCCAGCGTTTCTGTTGCTATGTACAAGTTGCTGATCCACCAGTGTTCCGTGATGCAAAGACTACCAAGCAGAAATAGATTAAGACTGAGTGAGATATTGGCAATGGCTGACTTGCATGGCTGGATATAGGACATGATACAACACGTAACAACAAAGTTGATGGCTTCACCCATACTGTGACTGACAACAATAAGTCTCTTGAAGATCACTACTCTGAGTAAACCAAAAACGATTGGAAATAGTTGTATCAGCCCAGCCAGTGCCCTGTAGTCTCTGGTTCCATTCAGACCATCTTTGAAGCATACTTGGAGAGCTTCAGCAAATGCTGTGATGGCCAGTCGCTTTCTGCCACTGATACACCTTGAGAGATATCCATAAATCCTTGTCGGGTAGATGATATGGAAAACTGAGGGAATCACTGTCAGAAAGACAAAAGGTACTAGAGCTATCAGTAAGTATTGGACATGCTGATAGCTTAGCCACTCCAGTGTTGGATCATGGTAGAGAGAATGTCGGTACAGAGTCGAACCTTCCCTGCGTATCTCTATATTATCTAAGAGGCTTCCCGTGGTAGCATACACAGCCACATTTGAGAGGAAGATGAATGAGGCAAAGGCACGAATGACTGCATCTCCAGTCACTAGTTTCATGTTCATCTTGTCAAGAAAGATTGTGAACCGCTTCCATATTGAATGTATCACTTTGCAGTTCTTAGCATGTAGGTACGCGAAGATAAAAATGACAACGAGGAGTAAAATTGGATAAGTTGCTGGTACTAAACTGAGCAATTGAATGTGGATGTCACTTAGTTTCTCACTGATACAAAATGGTGGGACAGCAGGTATTACATATTGCAAGCTCCAGAACTGAGACAATGTCAGGGAAATTTTGAACGTCACTTGGATATGTGGTGACAGATTAATGTATTCGTACATAAACAAATTCTGTTTAATCCGAATCAGGTATACCTGACAGAATAATACATATCCTAGTAAAGGGCCAGCTGTAATGTTCAACTTCAAACAAGACTACAATGAAGAAGAACAACGTAACTGGAAAAAGCTGTAGTACCAAGTATAGAGGAATGGAGTAATATTCCGAGAGCTTTGAGCAATTGGCACATTTCAAGTCAAAAATGTGGGCTGTGGGACCGTATCCATCAATACATTCTCCACACAGCAGACCTTTTCTGTTGTAAGGTCCACACATCGCATCATCCAGCAGGCCAGGATCACTAGGCATCGCAGAGTACGTCCTTTCAGTGTTGTTGACTGTGTGTCTGAATGGACAACGACCAAAATAGTACTGGTCCTCTTCTTCTGCAGATGTGGCACAGTTTCCATCTACAATTTCAACATCTTTGTGGCTGGAACACAACAGTCCAAACCCACAGTCACACTGCTGTGTGGTGTTGTCATAGTAGGACCAGGTCGGGGCAGCTGGTGTTGGTGGCCAGCACTGAGCCCTGGGACAAAGTCACTGCAAATGAGACACTAACACAAATGAACAAAGACAGAACCATTGTTAGCTATCTTTGCAGACATTACATGTTGCATTGGTGAGCAATGCTTTATCCATGGATGTTGTTGGCCTATTATTGTGATTCTGTTTTGAATAGCAGAAACCCTTTAGCTGTTTTACTTGTGTTAGTTTTCAATGAGCTGTGCCCAAAGGCAAAAACACTGAAGGTGATGTAGAGTTGTTTACCTTAATGAAGCCGTAATGAAACTGTAATCACAAACTGTCCACACATTGAAAGTCATGATGACTGAACTTAAAAAGTCATTCTCGCCGATTTTTTTAATGCATTTTGTACGTTGATCATGTTGGCCAATTTAGAGCACCTATACATATATAATATATACTATACCGACGCTCTAATAATTACACATTACTGGTTTCCCTTTGACTTCTTAATAGAAACATTCTTTATTCTGTCCATCAGCTGAAAGTTTTCCGTAGATTGCGTCACTTATCCAGATTATTTTATCTTACTGATACTTGCCATGCTTAAAGAGACTCTTCTCCTTAACATTCTTAGATTTTCGACTGTAAGAGTGTGTATTAAACACGGCTGGATGGGTTTATTTTTAGGCTGTGGTAGGTGGTTTGTACTTTGTACTTTGTATGATGGGACACCAAGGCAGATCGCTTTACCCTGCTGTGCATGCACATGCGGGGTTAAAAATAGAGTAGCTACCAAAACTATAGTGAGGTCTTACATCTGTAGTGGAGCAGACATGAAAAATGTAGCATGCATCCTTTTCTATGATGGACTGTACGATCATCTCCCACCATGAATTTGTTTGTAGCTAACTGGAATGCAACTGAACTTTTTGGCTGTATAGCGCCTGACTTTTAAGTCATCGTACTGGGCATGGTGTGGGAGCCATATTATAGCTAGCCATAATTATGTAATTGGTTATTTAGCAGCTGAAGAAACTGTTGTGCAATTCAGCTCAACTGGTGGACCTGCTACCACTGTCACTTGGACAAAAGACTCCACCACTGTCACCCAAGGAACCCAGACTCTGTGCAATGACCCAGTGACTGCACAGTTCACCCACACTCTGACTGTGACTGAGAAACTGCCTGGACTCTACACATGCACCATAGCTAACCATTGCCATCAAATTCTTCAGCAAATATCACGATTCAAGGTATGACATACAAAACCCTGTGTGAATGATAGGTATAGCTACAAGTGTGAAAATCATTTCTTCAAAATGAAAGGGGAGATATAGGGATGGCTTGAAGCAGCAAAAAGGAAGAAACAAGGGGTCATTACACAGCAAAGATGCACAAAGCTACATGACACCATCCCTATATCTTTGTCTCATATTAAACTTTACTTCAAGGTAAGCTGTTGCAGAGTGGAAATGACGGAGACGGCAAGTGCGGCTCTTTCCCAATTAGGGAGGAAAATGTCAGCAGGGCGAGATTGGTTGTGAACAATAACACAAAGATATAGGGATGGTGTCATGTAGCTTTGTGCATCTTTGCTGTGTAATGACCCCTTGTTTCTTCCTTTTTGGTGCTTCAAGCCATCCCTATATCCCCCTTTCATTTTGAAGAAATGATTTTTCCACTTGTTTCCACTACGCCTTATGACAACACTGCATTTTCAGTCACTCTGATGTTCATGGGTGTTGTAGAGATAACTGTTGAAAGCAGAAGCTAATGGGCTGCTCCTACCTGAAGCAGGGTGTATGTGTAGTGTCTCCAACAAGGATGCAATTAGATTGTGGCACATATGGTGGGGTGGTTTCATAGGCAGGCTTCAGTAATCAGACTACAATGATAGCTATAACCTGGGGGACAAAGAATGAAGGCGCCTGGCAAGGCACGCGTAACACGCGCAGATTGCCAAGTTGCTCCTCGTGCAAATCAACAGCAAAACGCAAGCTAGCCACTTACAAATGTGCACACTGACTTACAGAAGGCACCGAAGGATGAGAGTAGTTTTCTCTGAAGGCATCCAGTCCTGGCTTAGTCTCGTTCGTGGACCAGGTTTACGAGACAAAATGCGCGCGAGCCGCATTGGAAACGCCCTCCTCGGCGCATGCGGCTCACTGAAACGATCGCTTGATATGCATGCACACCTCCGGCAAATTCGGAGACGTTCTGTGAAAAAATCAACGCTTCAAGTGCTTCCGGTAAGGAGCTAGCGGGTCTGAAGAAGAAGAAGAGGAAGAAGAAGAAGAAGAAGATGAAGAATATGACGATGACACGAAAATCGTGAAATCGCGTATGAGCGAATTCTCGCGTGGACGACTGAAGGTGCGTATGAGGTCTTGGGGGACATGTATAGGTAGATATGGGCCCGTAGACTATTGCTAGTATGTTTTGAAGGCCTAGGGAGTGATTCTTACCGAGATTTTAGTCGTTTTGTACGCGGATCACGTGAGATTTCACCCGTGTCGTCCCTATATAGAGAGTCTACCGACTCTCTGATAGCTACAAGTGGAAAATCATTTCTTCAAATGAAGGGAGATATAGGGATGGCTTGAAGCACAAAGCTACATGACACCATCCCTATATGTTTGTTTTATTGTTCATAAGCAAAGTTTAATATGAGACAAAGATTAAAGGGACGGTGTCATGTAGCTTTGTGCATCTTTGCTGTGTAATGACTCATTTCTTTGTTATGTTCTCCAGTAGCCCATTTTACTCTGCTACCCTGTCCACTGGTACAATAAAAAACGTTTCTCAGTGATATTGTTCATGAGGGGACTTGTGTCTGGTTGCTTCCTTGATGCATTTGTTTTGCTACCTCCTAGGTAATTAACCCTCGGCGCGCATGCGCAGCGAGGGTTACTGTAGTTGTCGTGTGTGTGTGTGTGTGTGTGTCGCTGTCTGTCTGTCTGTCTGTCCGTTACCTAACTAGTCTGGCGTAGCTGAAATAGGCAGGCTACGCCAGACTATTACATAACATCTCACTTCACGAGCCATGCATGAATCGCTCCACAAACAATACCACGTATTTAGAGTCGGGTATAGGTCGAAAAGTATGTAGGATTTTCTCTGAAACTGTTGCGTTCGGGAGTTATGACGTGAAACACGCGAGCGAAAAAGCTAATTAGGAACAGGCTTACCCCGACCGCGTCCGCGCGCTCTGTGTATCTTGAAAAGGTTCTTTGAAGGCACAAGAAGTCACTGACAACGAAGGGCGTTTATCGACTCCTGCTTGTTATTTAGTAGTGTAGCTAGCCCGTTACTAACTCTGAGCGACCTGGTAACAGACCACGAGTCAGTACAACGCCCAGCCAAAGTAAGCGCATGGGTGTGTACTTACCGCGTGCACGCCTCAAATCTGTTCACGCATGCGCAAGATATTCCCATAATAATTACTAATGGCAATGTTCAACATTGTTGGCGAGCGGGAGCGACCAAACTTGAGATTTGCCCGCGATGTTCGGGCTGCATAACGTGCCGTGAACGCAGCTTTCCTTTCGTGAAGCAAGACAGATCTACCTGTCGCCGTTACATGCGTACTGTATATTCCCAGAACGGTGAGCAGGTGAGCAGAACGGTACTTACCTTATGCTTTCAGCTTGTCAGTCTGGTCCACCAGGCAGCTGGCATGCAGCAGTAGAGTAAGCCACCGATAAGCGGACGCCATATATTGTCGGACGCATTTGTGTAGTCTGTGCAAGACTAGATTGGCTACTGTGTTTACCAATATGTAGTTCTTGGTCATAAACTGTTGTATAAAAATATTCGCTCTTCTCCGAGCTTTACCGTGGGAATGACGTTGCCGTAAAGTGACGATTCGGGCACAGCAAAGATCGGACAAGCGCATCAATGGTAGGACAGTCTCCCAAAACGGGAACAGTATGAATGATCCAAGCGAGTGTATGCTCGATTGATAGCTGTACCTTTTGGCTATGCAGCGACCAACAAATGGCCCTTTTTTGTCTTCGCTCTTTTTGCTCACGAAAGCGCAAATAGGCGGGGTCGCGTAAGCCGCGTTTTACGCGAAAAGCAGTTCGCGGCTTGTTTCTTCTAACGCACGTGCCGGATGAAGCTCTAAATTTTTTATTCTCGTTCTTCTTGCCTTATACTAGATGCTTGCACCACGATTTCCGTTTTTGTGAGATCTAACTTTTTATTGGTAATTACAAAAAATTAAAATGTTACAAAAACGGAAATCGTGGTGCAGGCATCTAATATAAGGCAAGAAGCACGAGGAGAAAATTTTCATAGCGCATCATACGTCATTCCCACGGTAAAGTTCGGATAAGAGCGAATATTTTTATACAACACTTTATGACCAAGAACTACACATTGGTATACACAATAGCCAATCTAGTCCTGCACAGACTTCACAAATGCGTCCGAGAAATACATGGCGTCCGATTATCGGTGGCTTACTCTATGTGCACGAGCAACCCTAGGCGTATTTGCAAGTTGCACCTTGGAACCATGAAGATTGGGAAGACGTACAGCCTCGGTCAGTCATCGAAGGTTGCAGCACAGGCCGTCGAATGGAGGAGAGTTCTCTCGCTGGCTAGATCGATCGGCGCATATCGCGAGGTACCGTGTGTGAAAATGTGTCAAAATTTGGAAATAATTTCGGATAAAAAGAAGCGCGTACAAAGCCGCGCATGCGCACTTACGCGACGTACAACCCCGGGCTAAGTCGTTATGTTGACGGCCGCCGGTCGTATAATAGAAAATTCCGCTCGAACGAACGACTAGGTTGTTTACGCATTGGCTGGCAGGCGCGAGGAAAAATATGCGCGTGCGCATTCCTAGTATTGTAGTGTATGAGGCCTCAGGTCAGTTTGTCACCTCATTTGGAAGCCGTGGTCAGAAAGAGGGAGAGTTTTATGGTCCATTCTGTATCACCTCTTGTGCTGATGGTTTTATACATGTATGTGACTGTGGTAACAAGTGTTCAGATATTATAGAACACCCAATGCTACTGTATTGTCTGAACCAAGACATTTGTATATTAATCATTGTTTGTGTTTTGCTCTCCTTTAACACAATTTCTTATAAAACCACAATGCCTTATTATCTCATGTTTCATGTAATTGTAAGCACTATCATCTATGTAGCATAATAAGCATCGTTTAATTGTATTTCATGTTTGTATATCAATACTCATCCACTGAATGATACATTGTGTACTACACTGTCTCTGGCAACATTCTTCAGCGGCCACCAAAGAGTTTAAGCTCCAATCGCTACCACACACCAGCACAGTTTGAGCAAAAATTACTTAACCAGCCATACATAAATGTGTCCAGAGCCTTCATAAGTCCATAAGAATTTATATGGGCGTTATAATACCAGGCGCTAATATTTTATACATCAATTTTCTACTTATTTAAGGAGATGCCCATGGCTTCCAAAAGGTTAATGGTCAATTGCCTCTTCTCCGGATATCGCTGGCGCATGCGCAATAGAGCAACTTGGGTGAGGCTCGTATATTTATTTTGAGATCGACTAAGTGCACAACAATGTTATTGGAAGGTGGTGTGAAGACAAAATACTGTACTGTATATGCTGAAGACAAAATATTGTACTGTACACGCCATTTAGCTGCTTCACTGGTTATAATTTTCACTATTGTCGAAAACATGGGCGAAGAATTTCTTCGCGATCATCCAGGGCTGAGGCCCTTCGTTCTCTCCGACGTCCAGCTCACTGGCACCGAAATCGGCAGTGGGGCTTACGGCAAAGTGGAGGAGGTGGTCGTTCCTGTAGGCGCCGCCGCCAAAACAATCTATGCATTCTTGCGAGAAGCCAAAGCCTCGACGGAGTTCGTGAGGGAATGTCAGCTTATGAGCACCCTCCGCCACCAGAACATCGTCCAGTTTCTGGGCGTCGCTTTCTTTCCCGGCTCGCGACTGCCAGCCCTCGTCATGGAGCGGCTGCTGACGAGTCTTCACGACTTGCTGGCTCCGGACCCTCCCCCTCCCTCCGGCGCCGTCCTGCCGCTATCTTTCTTCTCCACGGCTCTCAAGTGCTCCGTACTGCACAACATAGCGTGTGGCCTAGCCTACCTCCACGAGCGATCGCCGCCCGTCATCCACCGCGACTTATCGGCCAGAAACGTTCTCCTGGACTCGGAGATGGTGGCCAAGATAGCGGACCTGGGCGTGGCTCGTATCGTTCCTCGTGTGAGAGATGCAGCCACCATGACAAAGGGGCCTGGAGCCTTAGTCTACATGCCTCCAGAGGCTTTTGCACCAACTCGATGGAATACTGAAAAGTCGAAATACGATGCCAGCATCGATGTATTCTCTCTTGGAGTTGTCACCATTTTCACAATCGGTGAAGTCTTCCCCTGTGATCCTCTAGAGCACAACTACTTTGACCAAAAGAGTGGAGTGCTGTTAGGTCGCACTGAACTACAGCGACGCGCTGAATACATGCGATATGTAAATGAGCAACTCCGTGCCTATTGCCAGCTCCGTGGGGACCACCCTCTCATTCGGCTGATCGAGCAATGCCTGCACAATCTCCCAGCCAAGAGGCCAGGTATTCGTGAGGTGCTGCATCTGTTGGAGGAGGCCAGAGCTGGTGTTAGAGGCGAATGGAGTGAGAGGAACAAACGTGAACTGGTACGAGCTCTTCAGACCCAGCCCAGGAACCAGGTGAGGGACTGTACACTCATTAGGTATGAGTTGATGTGTTGACAAAACTCGTGTGATTCTACCAGAATTTGGAGCGTGTTCTCCGAGACCTGGTGACAGAGAATGCTCATATCCATTCCCGTGTGCAGGCCAAAGACAGGGAGATTGCTCGGAAGGTATAGAGCACAGTGTATAGCAGACTTAGGGAATATATTTCACTATTTTGACTGTTGTAGGATGAGGAAAGTGGGAGGGAGAAGCAAGCACTCAGACAAGTGCTGACAAGAAAGGAAGCAGAGCTTACAAGCAAGGAAGTTGACTTGGCTGAAACTTGGCAACAGTTGATACAAAAGGTATTTAAAACTTGTGTTGAGCATTTAGCAGATATTTTCATAACGTCATGATGCGATCGCCTTTTCTGCAGGAGGAACAGTTACAAACAAGTGAGACAGAGAAACAGAGAGTCCAACAGCAGTTGACAAGAAAGGTGGACGTTTTTTTGCAATAGCTTGTCTTACATTCTCCCTCTTGGTTACTTCAGGAAGCAGAGCTGACAGGAAAGGAGGCAGAGGTGACGAGAAAGGAAGCAGAGGTGGCGAGGGCAGAGGAGACTATCAGGAGAGGGCAGCAGCAGATTCAAGAGATGAAACAGAGAGTAAGTCTAGTGTGTGGAGGTGTGTGTTGTGACTAGAGGTCCTCCTGAGTGCAGGAGGCTGAGTTGGTGCAGGCCAAGGACAGGGAGATAGCTCTGCTTCAGCAGCAACTGGGGGAAAAGGTACGCTATGAATATTAACTCAAAATAACAGATCATGAATATCTTTAGTAGTATAATTATTACGAATGTCTGTAGTAGTATTGTGTGTAATTCCCCATTTCTCCCTTTCATTCCTCTCTCCCTTTCTCTCTGTCACAGCAGTCAGCATAAGGTAGCGTTTTCTTTTCGCAACTCTGCCACACATAGGTTGTCACTTGTTATTCACTCTTCGCTCCCTGTCTGTCCCAGCACTCTTACACATGTCAGGTCAGTGGACCTGGTCTAACATCAGCCACAGTCAACCAACCAACACACGTCCTACTCCAACTAACTGACTCTAGTGGTAGACCATACTCACTTCCACTGAATGTCACCGCACAACTTGAGCTTGTTCCAAAAGGCACACTCACAAATACACCCGAAGCCACACCCACTAGATCAAGGTGGCCTTGGTCAAAGAAACAGCCAGAAAAAAAGATATTGGTTGCCATGACGTCTCCTCCCAATACGAGGTGTTGTACAGACCAGTCAATCGAGGCCAACACAAACTCGATGTTCAAGTCAACGACAGAGAAATCAATGGCAGCCCCTTCACTGTGACCGTGTACCCTGACCCCAGACAACTAGGCCACCCAGTGAGGACTGTGACTGGATTAAACAAACAATATGGTATTGCCTTCAACAGTCATCAGGAGATGATTGTCACTGAACGTTGGGGTCATAGATTGTCTATCTTTTGACATCAGAGGACAGAAAATTCGAATATTTGGATCACGTGGTGACAGTCCAGATAAGATGGAATACCCTGCAGGCATAGCAACTGATGATACTGACAATATTTATGTGAGCAGTTGTCACAAGCTGCAGAAGTTCACTAACAGCGGTGAACTGATCAAATGTATTGGTCAGAGAGCCAGGAAGGAAGGGAAGTTTGATGATCCACGTGGAGTGACACTGTATGAGAATCAAGTGTATGTGTGTGATCGTGATAACCATCGCATTCAGGTGTTTGACCTTGACTTGAACTTTGTCCGATCCATTGGCTCACATGGCAAAGGAAGAGGTGAATTCAATGCACCACTTGATGTCAAATTTGACACTGCCGGGAACATGTATGTAGCTGAGTTTAGTAATGGGAGAGTGCAAGTAATGGACACCAGTGGCCAATTCATACGAGTATTTGGTCAGGAAGGAGAGGGAAAACTGCGTGGGCCATCAGGTCTTCATATTGCTGACAAGTATGTGTATGTGTCTGATAGGAGTGGTGATTGTATTGTAGTGTATGAGACCTCAGGTCAGTTTGTCACCTCATTTGGAAGCCGTGGTCAGAAAGAGGGAGAGTTTTATGGTCCATTCTGTATCACCTCTTGTGCTGATGGTTTTATACATGTATGTGACTATGATAACAACAGAGTTCAGATATTTTAGAACACCCCAATGCTACTGTATTGTCTGAACCAAGACATTTTGTATAATATTGTTTGTCTTACTACTGTTGATCTCCTTTAACATAATTTCTTATAAAACCACAATGCCTTATTATCCCATGTTTCATGTAATTGTAAGTACTATCGTCTATGTAGCATAATAATAATTATTGTACTTCATGTTTATAACTATTTCTCTATCAACACTCATCCACTGAATGATTATATTATATAGACGTCGGCAGATTCAAATTGACCAATCAGATTGCGTAAAACGTGGATTATATTTTCCAAGTGTGTGTTTCCACGGAGACACCCACCAAAAATGGCATCTTCGGTGGGGGTGTGGCAAGCTTCCGTGCAGAGAAACTCGGCTCTGTAGTACACTGTCTCTGGGCATTCTTCAGAGGTCTATAAAGAGGTCAAGCTCCAATTGCTACACCACACCAGCACAGTGTGAGCAAAAATAAACTCTTAACCAGCCACTGACACATACATGTGTCCAGAGCCTTCATGAATTTATATGGGGTTGTTACTAGTAGGCGAATGCATGGAATTTTTGGCGAGCGGAAGCCAGTGTTAATTGGCTTGTTCACTTGGTTTTCACGCCATAACTTTTGAACGCGGCACTTTTACGAAAATCGCCTATTTTAAAATAAAGCCAGTGTAGCTCTGAACCCGCTGGTGTCGCTATTTTACCTGTTTGTTGCGCGTGGTGGCAGAAATCGTGGTAACAGACGGACAGACAGACAGAACGACTACTGTAACCATCGCTGCGCATGCGCGCGCCGAGGGTTAATAAATGGAAAATCGGCCTGTTGCGACGACTAGGCTGGCTCGCTCCCGTGTTAGGCTGCAAAAGCGAAACCAACGCAAGAGCGAAACGACACTCCTATAAAGTGCGGCGCGCGCACCTAAATCGCACACTGCGCTCAAGTATTTTGCGCTCTCCTGTGCTACACCGTTGCTGACAAGATATTAGACGTACAGTATAGAATCAGCTATACTCTTCATCTTGTGTAACAAAGAGACTAAGGAGACAAAGGAGACAGTAGACAAAATTGGGAAGGGAACAGCCAGGGAAGTTTCCAATGAGTCTCTTTAGAGCTGTTGCTCAGAGAGAAAAGCGACGGATAATGAAGACATGGTTAGAAGATTATTTTGATAGAAGTTATGTGGAATGGTATGATAATAATGACACTCATGAGTATTATCACTGGAGTATGGCACGGGTGTGTTTTGAAGAAGGTTACATGGTGAAAGAGACAAAATGGCACGCATGAAGAAAGCTTGTTTGCCTTTCAGCATGCACTTACACTTGAATGATCTTAGGTGGACCAACATCACTAAATATATTTGCATCACAACAGAGGCAACCTCTGCTGAAGACTTTGACTGGAGAGGTCTCAGGAAAATGAATCTACTGAAAACATCCAGGACAACTAGCATATATCTGTATACTTTATCCTCAGATATCTCTACAGGATTTCACATCATGTCAACAATATCCATCTGAATTCTGTTCATCACCTCTTTGCTTGTTACAGGTTTAAGTTTCTGTTTGTTTTTAAAACTGGGATGTATCTGTTGATTTATTTGCTGTCGGTTTAGAAATATCTGAATCTTTCTCTCTGTTACCCCGCAAAAGGCCTTTGCAATGATAAAATATACTTTTCTTGCTCCTGCTCCTTTGTACTTTGTGAAGTACATCTTTATGCACTTTTAAACTTCATGATTCTGTAGAAGTATCTTACCATCTCCTCTATTGCTGATATCAATAAGAACTCTCTCCTCAATGTCGCCAGTTAATGGATTAAGTGTTTGTTTAAAGCTGGCAATCTTTCTCCTCTGTATGCGATAAGCTGCAACAATGTTTTTTGTCCACTCTTTCTTTGGAACAGTATTGCCTTTTAAAAGATTCAGTAATGCTGAATGAACTCCTGCAGAGACACTGCGGATGTGATCTTTCGTTGGAGGAGTGCTGCTCTACATAATGTTATCAAGAGCCTGAGTCACATGTATTATACAACAAAGCAAACTTACAGATTTGCGTTTTCTCTTTGGTTGGGTGTGATGTCACTCCCAATAGAATCTGTGCCACTTGTAGTTGATTCCTGCTTTATAAATTCTGATTTAGAGTTGTGGGCTAATAAAATACTACTAGGTACCTCTTTATTCTTCACGTGAAGGCAAATCTTTCGACATTGAGAACAAAGAAATCCACATGAAACGCATGAAAATACACTACTGTTTCCACAGGACTTGCAGGAATTCCCTGAGAGGATAAGCTCATCCATTTCTATGGATAGCTGAATTACTAACCTCCACCACCATATAGTCTAGATAGCAGAAAGTCTGGAACAAAATGACTCCTTAGATCGCCCTCTGGGTCTCTGCCAATATGCAAGTGTGAGGATGGTCTCAGAGACGTTTCTTCCTCCTTTAGTCCCAGGATTCAGGTAACATTAGCTTCTTTTTAACCAACGCACCTAACGCAAATGCGAAACGAGGCTCTGCACATAATGCCTTCGACTTGCTGCTAAAGTACAAGTGTGAGGATGGTCTGAGAGACGTTTCTTCCTCCTTTAGTCCCTGGATAAGGAACTGCCGCATGCAGTTACACGTTCCGATATCGGATGGCCGTGCGGCCTTGATTGCGCATTCCAATCCTGTTTCGCTCTTGCTTTGGTTTCGCTTTTGCAGCCTAACACTCCCGCTCGCCAGTAAAAGTAGGGGTAGGATCGGGAGATCGCTGAAGCGCGTACACGTCCACACATCCGGAAGCAAGCGAACTGGCGCAGGCTGCGGACAAGTGGCGCTCTCGTGCAGTGCCGAGTATGCCACCTACCCGCGAGGGTCCAAGCAGGTCTGCTGAGCCACGGCCTCGCTAAAGGCGCCGTTCTACGAGGCTGCTGCGCGTGCCCCCGTCGACATAGTGGCCGTCATCGACAAGAGCGGCTCCATGCGCGGGGCTAAGCTGGACTTCGTCAGGAAGACGCTTCTCTTTGTTGTCGATCAGTGTACGTTTTTGGGCATAATACATCCAGCATGCCATCTTGTATAAATAAATACTGCACACGTGCAGTGAAGGAGTGCGACAGGCTGTCCCTGGTGACCTACGACACCAATGTCTACCTGGACTTCTCCCTCACGTCCATGAGCACGACCAACAAGGACAAGGCCAAGATCACCATCTCAAATCTACGCGAAGGTTCCTCCACCAACCTCTGTGGAGGCCTTGTCAAAGGTAGCTATTTGAGTACCATGCATGGTAGTAGTTGTTGTTTATATATAAGCTGTTTATATAGCTATCCTGCTACTTTGTATAGGCCCTTTTGGTACATTTGCTGTACAATGGGGATAGAGACTAATCCCTCACAACACTCAACATAAAAATGTTGTGTATATAGACTCATTTGCTATGTAGCTAACTGCACTTATCGAGCATTCATTAGCGTAGGGTTGTTTAGGTCCTAACTCCACATCGTTGGCTAGTGAAGAAAAAAGTCTTTGAGGTGCCAGTGTCTATCTCTCGGGCTACCATGTTGTATGTATGCAGGTATGGAGGAGGTGGTACAGAGTGCGGGAGAGAGAGCTCAGGTCCAGTCGGTGCTCCTCCTGACTGATGGGCTAGCTAACAAGAGGGTCCGCGATGCAGAGGGTATCCTGGCCAAGATGAGGGAACTTCAGGACCCTCCAGTTCGTGGAGATGTGGCTCCAAAGGTGAGGGCATGGCTCTAAATAAATGGTACCAATCCAGCCTATTACCATTTAAATATTGAGCAATGTTGGTTTTTGCCCACATATTGTCCACATATTGTCATTATTGCTTATGTGTAATTAGGCATTCTGCAATCTTGGGCTGGAGTTTTGTAACTCTCCATTCTCCACCTGGCTTCTCATTTAGCTTATGTAAACAGCTAGGCTAGCCTATATAGCTTCATTAGCTTAGCTAAACAAACTGCACTGTGCGCAATCTGGGTCACAGATACACCCCAGCATTGTAGAATATCCCGCATATTATCATATTTTTTTGAAGCACCTTGGGTATGATATTAACAGGGATCCACTGTATTGTGTTGTGGATTTGAGCTGAGCTGCTGCCTTGTCTCAACCTCGGTGGGTAGATTGTGGTGGGTTTGAATCCCACCCAGGTCACCCGAATTTTCAAGGAGTCCTAGGTGTATATAGTTTTGGCTTTGCTTTGCCTTGGGTCCTTACATGCTAAGTTATTTACATTATGTGAGATTCAAGGCAGCAGTGTTATTGATTATTGCCTCTGAGAGGTTGCAATGGCCATGTTCTATACCACCAGAAATTTAACGGTACTGTCTACACGTTTGGATCTCCAGTCAAGGAGGCGGAGTCTATTACTTCATTGACAGCACTGATAAGGTAATGCAGCACAGCTCCTGGTTCATAGCGACCGTGTGGTGTGGCTTAACGCAAGTGTATGAGTGGGAAGCATGCATAACACGGATATTATGGTGAGGTAAGAGTGAAACCTATATCCATCCCAGCGTGCACGTACGTTGCTCATATCATGGATATACGGTGATCAATTAACCTGAGGTAACCTGAGGTAAAGAAAGCCATCTGTGCCGGTGCGTATGTGTTAAATTAGTCGTGGATGTAGGGTGAAACCTGCAGTCAGTAGTAACTACTTAAGACTACCTCTCCACATGTCTGTCCTAGTGTAGCTACTATGAGGCCACCTCAATAGTGTCCAGGCGTGTTTAACTCTTTAGGGTCTGTGATTGCATCTTTGCGCGCATGCGTATGACTACGTTTATTGAGCAATAGACCGCGTGGTCTGAATGTCGCCAAATGGCGCTATGGGCCCGAAGGGTCCGCAATAATTGTCGCCAAATGGCGCTATGGACCCTAAAGAGTTACTGTTTAAGGACAGAGTACTACACTTCCGACCTCACTGGTTTCGGTATGCCACCAACCAATAATCCCCCAGGAGCTCCCAATTCACAACAATGAAGCTATGTAGTTACCGGTTGTAATGCCATGTGCAATGCCTCTCATAAACCTGAGTGCCCTATACTGTATATGCAATACTTCTCTCAACCACACTCCAGATCCCGGAGTCATTTGCAGACTGTCTGGGATGGCTGCTGAGTGTTGTGGGTCAGAACCTGGCCCTCAAGATAGAGGCAGTTGGAGAGACTTCTCTCTCTGCTGTCCACGCCAACCGCCCCGTCCAATGGACCACTGCTAACAAATGGTACATTCAACCTGTTAATACACACTGTTTGTTGCACAAATGGGTGGGGACTGAAATTTGTGCTTGTTGTGTTGGTCAACTTAGTTAAATCGCTGTTTACATATTTTTGCGGACATGATGATGTGAACACACACTATGTCAGTCAAGTCACCTTGCATTATGCAGTCCAAGGACTTTTGTGTAGATTGACTGAATTTGCATTCTTTAACCTGTTGTCTTGTCTAAACATTTGATTTTGTCGTGGGAATTTGAACTGGGCTCACACACGGTTGTACAGTGGGTCCCACTTAATATCGTGCTGTTTAATAAAATATCCCGTTTATTACCATACAAACCTGAAATCCAAAACCATTTCCTATGCTTTCCCATACATTTTACTCCGTTTTATAGAATGCGAATAATGTCATATCCCGCCTGTTACCAAGGAAAATTGAGTAATTTTGGTTTTTAGCCGCATATTGTCATTAGCCTACCTGGCTGAATGGGCAATTTTTTCTGTTCTCTACGACGTGTTGTCGCACCTACACACACCTTTAATGGAGTTGAAATTCGTTAACATTCATGCAATGTGTGTATATAGTACTAGCCAAAAATGGAATGCATTTTTTCTGGTACTGTATTATTATATGGTGTATATAGTATGGGAACCCCCAACTATATGGGATGATCCCAGGTGTTTTCCCTTTCTTTTACTGTACAGTGTAATCCCATCAGCACTAGCTACTCAGTAAACCACTATATGGAGTATATACTCTACTTCAACCAAAGCTGCACAGAGTTTTACTACATATAAACATGGGTATTTCCACTCTTAGCAGTATCTTTGGTGAGCGTTTATACTTCACTTGAGGATCTTGTGCTCTTTTGCTGTGCAGGGTCACTCCTTAATGTTTGTATACACTGTATCATAAAATACTTGGCACTCTCAACTGAGTGTTGTATATTATAGTATGTTGACTTTCACTGGTGCTAGAAACCATGTGTATTGACCTCATCATTAGCTGCATTACACCCTCCTGCCTGATCCGTTAGGCAGTGCAGCAGACCTGCCAACCATAGGACTGAAATTTTCTAGTCAAAGGGTAAAATATCACTGGTTTTGCTACAAAAACACTGGTTTCATAAAAACAAAAAAGAGTGCGCTTGGGCGTGGCCTTAATTAGTAAGCGCGCATCGCGTGGAGTGATTTTGGGCGTGGCCAGAACTCGCTCTGCGTCGGGTCCGTAAACTCCAGTTGATCCAGGGCACTAAAAACACGCTAGCCTTGTATATGTAGTTGCTCCCAGCTTTCACTGCGTGACCTTTGCACCGCGTGGCAGCAGGTATCTACGGTGGGGGTGTGCCAAACACACAGCGCAGAGAATCCGGGAGTTTTTAACCAATATGTGGGGCAGCGGGTAAGCATCTCTTTTCCGGGATAAACCCGGAAATTCCGGGAGGGTTGGCAGGTCTGAGTGCAGGTGTTGAAGGAACACTACCTTACTTTGCTCAGGTCATGTAGGTGTCACCGGGCAGTTTGCTTTTAGACTAATGTGTATGTGGGCTTGTAAAGTTAATTCAGGGATTGTATACATAGGGTGGCTCCCTCTCAGGTATCAAAGTACCCCACAATAACCTTAAGGGCTAATTAGCATTAGTCAAAATTCTTAAAGGAGATGTGGCAGTATATAAGGGCTATATATAGAAGTGTTACTAAAGATAGATAAGACCCAGTGCAAGAATGCAATCAAGTTTCCATTTTCAGTAACATTTTCTAAATCTATCCCTTATCCCTTATAATGCTTACACATTCCCTTTAATGCCTGGTTTCCAGTTACACAGTAAAGTTATCGAAAAAGAGCTTACACCTCGTATCTTAGGCAGTGTAGGTGTCATAGTAGCACAAATACATTATTCACTGCTACATACCCTACATATGCACATACATAGGCAGTGGAGATGTCGAAGGAGCGTATCTACCTGGACACCAAGAAGGAGAGTATGACGGCTGACGGACTGTCGGCAGTGGTCCCTGATGGCCACCCCAGTTATCACTTCTTCCTCTTCAAACACACGTTCGAGGGTGACTACCAGGAGAGCATAGGTACACACACGTATGTAGTGTGGTGGTCATTATGTACACTGTGCTATCCTGGGATTGTTATGCTGTACTGACAAACGCTGGGATGCCATTGTAAAAACCAGTTTTCCTGTAAAGCATTTCGGCGGGCGGAAGCAAGCTACGTATTAGTTAACGTACACGCGGGGAGGTGGTACAGGAGATACTCCGAGGCTGTTGACTATACCGGACGAGGGCATAGCCCGAGGCCGGTATAGTTAACAGCTGAGGAGGATTTCCTGTATGCGCCTAGACGCCTGACGTTAACTGATTTGTAGTCCAACTAGCCAATCACAATGCTGAATTTCTGCTGTGTCATCCTGCACTAATCACTAATGACTGTTGTGTAAACTTTGGAAGCCAGACAATTTGCACTACGCATAGCTCTAGATGTTGTGATAAGGACTTCCTGTCCCAATACTGATACCTGTGCAGCCCGCAGCCCACAGCTCAGAATACAGCGTATATTCTTAGCACCGGGTTGTTTGAAGTTGGACTACAAATGTAGATAGTATGCAGAGAACGTATTGCAAAAAAAGAAGTCCAAATGCATGCACTATTAGATGTAAAAGGTGCATTTTTCAGTCCGTTTGAACTGGTTCACTTCCACTCGCCAAGTACAACTACACAATGTCAATATTCTGCCTTCATTTGAAATCCCGAAAGTGGCTCTTCAAACTGCGACAATTTTGTGCTTGTATAATAAGGGTGGCTTATTCACATCTTCATGTCACATTGTTTGCAGTGTTTATCTATTCGTGTCCCGGGTTCAAGAGCAGCATCAAGGAGCGCATGCTCTACTCTTCTTGCAAGGAGCCACTGGTGTCTGTAGTAGAGGACAGCCTCAAGATCGAAGTTGTAAAAAAGGTATGTGTATATTTTTATGATAGCTAGAGGAGCACAAACCACTATCACTTTATCCACTGATGCTATTGGCAGTGCAGTTTTAGACTCTGCATGTGTTATGTAGCTAATGTGGAGATGTTTGCTGCTGTTAACAGTTTTCACGTAGGGGAATGTCATATTGGTATTCCCACGAACATGTGTAGTGTAAACAGGCTGTTTGCTTTTTGAGATTGGGTTATTTTCAGAGTATTCCTAGGAAGATCCAGATTATTGGTGTGGTCTAAGACCTGCGTGGGACTATTATTCTTCCTGAAAGTTGTTGTGAAGATGTGTGTAACGATAATTTACGCCCCCAGATAGTGGGAAGGACATGAGTGAGGCTTACTGGGTTATTTTCAGAGTATTCTTAGGAAGATCTAATATAAACAGATTATTGGTGTGGTCTAAGACCTGCGTGGGACTATTATTCTTCCTGAAAGTTGTTGTGAAGATGTGTGTAACGATAATTTACGCCCCCAGATGGTGGGAAGGACCTGAGCGAGGCTTACTGGGTTATTTTCAGAGTATTCTTAGGAAGATCTAATATAAACAGATTATTGGTGTGGTATAAGACCTGTGTGGGAAATACTATTCTTCTTGAAAGTTCTTGTGAAGATGTGTGTAACGATAATTTACGCCCCCAGATAGTGGGAAGGACCTGAGTGAGGCTTACTGGGTTATTTTTGAAGTATTAGATTGTTGGTGCGGTCTAAGACCTGGGTGGGAATAATTATTATTCTTCCTGAAAGTTGTTGTGAAGATGTGTGTAAAGGTAATTACACCCTCAGATTGAGATAGACAGTGGGAAAGACCTGAGTGAGGCTTACATCATGGAGGAGGTCCACCCCTCCCAGCAGGCTTACCGGCCAAAGTTCATGAAGCCGCCGGGTCCAGCAAGGAGACGGTCTCGCTCACCAGCCAAGAACAACCACTCTGACATTGCCTGAACCTCTGTCCCTGTGTGTGTCTAGCAATGATCGTGTTTTTGTTGTTCTAGAGAGTGTACATAATAATTTATTATTTTGACTTAGGAAACAGTACATAATCAATTTCACACCCATACTTACTCTTTGAGCTAACATCTAGCTAGCCATGAAAATGTTTGTACGCGGCGTTACGTGTGACTCTGCCCAGGTGATTGTGGCCTCGAAACCAGGCCTTCTCCCTCCTCTATGCACACATGCTCCGAACTTTATTACGCGTGGGTCAGAGGCTCACACTTGCACCCCCCCCCCAGCACACCAAAGCCTGTGCTAGTCACACTCCCTCTGTTTTACCAATTTGTGTCTCTGCTCTAGCTGAGACAGCTGGGAGACCTGAGTGGCTCTCTCTCTCTCATGCCCAATCCCTCATGCTGGCAACTGGGTCAATGCCACTTCCACCAGGGCTCTTGGTCTGCTGATGTCCCCCCCCCCAATATAATTATACCTCTCGCCAGCTGTTCAAGAGGTGCTCTGTGTCTCTGTGGGGAGGGAATGCTGCCCTGTGGCTGCAGATTTACCTCCAATCTCCTTCATTGGCCGTGTTGTCTGACTTCCGTTTTTTTTAAGGGGAATGTCTTTTATTGTGTGTCTCACACTTTTCTTTTATTCGTCAAAAAAGGAAAATACTCCCACGCGTAACAATAACATACGGCGGAGCATGCGCGCGTGGAGGAGACAATTTAGAGGCTTGGCAATTGCGCACGCGCAGACGCCTATATAATTATCATGGATTGTTCGGGCGGTTTCGCAAGAAAATAGGTAATATATACAAGTAGGCGAATGCATGGCATTTTTTTGGCGAGCGGAAGCGAGCTTACAAATGGGGTTTAATCGTATGAGTCACTCTTGTGTGTGCACAAAAAGGCGGGCCTCTCTCTCCTCACTGGACTCGGCAGCAACTTGGCGCTTTGAAGCCGTTGGAGCCTGGCCTGATGTACCTCCTCGGATTCTGCACCGCGTCTAGCTCTTGATCGTACACGACCTCTCGCTAGTCGCGCTTCCCTTTCCTCCGCTGTTTCTGTTGCCCGGCGTTGCCTTGCCCGTTCCCGATCACGCAATCGGCGTTGAGAAAGCAGAGCTTCTCTCTGCTCAGGAGTCTCACTGGCACGACGTTCTCTTTGCCCCTCTCGTCGACGACGAAGAGCATCTTCTCTAGACCGATCCATAACTCTTTCCCTTTCCTCACACGCTAACAAATTATCAGGGGTGGAGCCTACTGAGGGTGGGCGACGTACCGGCGACGTACGGTGACATATATTATATATATACATTATATATAGAAAAATCGCGCCGATCCCCCATTGGGTTCCCCTCACTTTTATAATTAGAGCTTGGCAATGCGTGCTCCGAAGAAAAGTGTGTGTGTGTGTGTGTGTGTGGGTATTACACGCTATTTCTTGCGAATAAATTGCTGCATATATGACTTCAATGTAGCAACAACAACCTCCCGAGGAATGCAAGCCTCCTGAAGTCAGGGGCGGCGAGGCTACACGAGGAGAATAAGATCATCCGGTGTCGCGGGCGCGCGTGAGGACTGGTTATAAAACGCGCCGATGTTCTGCGTCCTGGCCGTACTCGTTCAAGCCTTGGCTTGTAGCCGCCAATAATGGGATCACTTTGGGTACTGGCTTTTGCAGCTAGCATTGCACTCTGCGGTTCCCAGCTGCAGCATTATACGAAATCACCAGATGAACATAACTGCGTGAGTTGTTTTGACTGGCCCCATTCGCTTCTATTTTTCCCTTTGCAGGATAACAGAGTCTGCGAGTATGTGTACTCGTTCGAGATGATTCAGTTCAAGGAGAATGATCAGCCACTGACGATGAGCACCACTGTACAGATCATGTGCGAATCAAGTAAGTATCATTAGCTGAGCTAACTGCATATCTATAGTCCATTCACGTTGAGAATGCATGTTGATTTTCTCGAATGACTTACCCTTGCACATTTCTTGGTGCCATTTTGTACTTCTTAATGGTTGGTTTGGCCAATACATAGTTTTGAAAAACCCTCCTTTTCAACGTATGGCAAAGTGCATTCTCAACTTGAACATACTATGGCTAGCTAACTAGCTAGATCTTCCAGATGCGGTTAGCTAGCATAGTTATTTTGAAAACACAATGTTCGTATCACCACCAGAGGCCCCCATCTAGGAAATCCACTGGGTGAGAGAGGAATGCATTCGTGAGTTTGTCAATGAAAAAGTGAAATAAAACTTCTCCTGCTAGGTTTGGAAAACGCGATTGGTACCTAGGCTGGCGCCCAATATGCTGGTATAATTTTTGGAATAATAGGGGCTGCCCAGAAAATGCATGGCATAATTCTGGGAATAATGGGTCGGAATTGGCGTTCGCGCGATCTTCCGCCGGAGCTTCAGCCCTTCCGCGGTTTTGCGTAAAGATGGAGAACTTACCCTGGATATCTTCACTGCAAAAATAGCGAAAATGACGCGCATCACTCTCCCGGAAGGCTAGAGACGGCAAAACTGCGCGAACAAAAGTGCAGACTCAGCAATTTTCCCTATTGCGCAAGGGTTTAGCGCATGTGCCAGCTCTAAGGGAATAATAGGGGCAGCGGGGAGGACTAATAGGGAAGATTTACGGGAATTGAGGAATAGAATAATGGGTAAAAATGTAGCATAATGGACTCAACCCTATTGGTATATATCGCGCGCAATACTGATTACACGGAGTGCATGCCCAGCCATGTGCCTATGAGGGGTGATATAATAATTTGATCGGCATGACTCCTTATTGTCGCTAAATGCTGTAAGCTATACTTAGTGAAAGTAGTGCATTAGCAACAGTATCTGTTATTAACCATCGGCGCAGAGAGGGTTACATTAGTTGGTTTGTCAGTGTGTCTGTCTGTCGCCGCTTATTCTGGCACTACAGGCTACGAGGCGGCCTATTAGCGATACCAGAGGCTACAGAACTACCCGAGCCTGAAAATGAAAGAGGCGATTTTCCTGAAACGACTGCGTTCGAGAGATATGCCGTGAAAACAAACAAAAAAGCGAATATGCATAATCGCATTGCGCTGCTATCTACTTGTGTAACTAGCCCGTGTCAGACTCTCCGCGAGCTACAAGCGTGGAGACCACGAAACGCATACGATTAACCCAGTCCATCAATATTAGCTGTGTCGCGCACGCGCAGTTCCCGAGGGTTTGCACTTCAGTTTCATCCGCAACCTGGCCATCGCCACTGCTCGCGCGCATGTAATTCTCGTGTGAAGCAGAGATTGTCCATTTATTCGTCCCCGCGATTGAGCACGAACATTGCGCGGCTCGATCCGCTACCTTGTTTTTACTATTGTGTTGTTTCTCATAGCTGGTACATATGGATCTCTGAGTGCCACACGGTACTGTATGTCAGTATCAGATGTGGGTGGAAGTATCCTAACCTTCAGAGGCAACCAGACAACTGAAGCAGACAACAGAGAAACGTAAGTAATCATTAACACTCGGCGCGCATGCGCAGAGAGGGTTGGCTGTGTCCTGGCGCTATGCATACCACGACATGATCCGCTCGCTCTGTGTACTTTGGAGGCTAACGAAGTCACAACTAATGGAGTGGTGTATCGACTCCCTCGTACTATAGCTAGCCGGCCTGCTCTCCGTAAGCTAGACCACGAGTAAACCATACTTTTGGCCCAACCCATCAATTACCGGTACCGCACAAGCGCAGTGCGCCAAGGGTTTGCACTTCAGTGCTTTTCATTTTTATCAATCAAATTGACATTGCACATTGAGTCAAAGTCTCGAGTGTCCTGGTATTGACGATAGTAATCAACTCTATTGCAGCAAAGGCTGTGAAATGCAGCCAATTGTGCTCCCAGTGTATACTGTAGCCTTTTCTACTTAAATTATATTCTAGACGAGCATATAATGTTCATGCAGTTTGATGAGGGAGTATGCACTTGAGCGGCTCTCTGGATGGTTCTGCCTTGTTCAGACCACTTTTGGTCAGGTGGTGTCAGTGTTCCACTCGACAACCGAAGAAGTTGAAGTAGTTAATATCAAGAAAGGCATTGCTTCTGCTTTCCAAGCCAACCTTAGAGGGACAACTGAAGAAATTGAAATTGACCCGCAGTCCAAACACATCTCTCATTACAGGTAATTTCATTCTATAGACTTGCTGTCTTTTGATTTAAACAACAATGTTCTTCAGTTATCCAGATTCGGTAGACGAAGTGAGGAAAATGCGTAGAACCATCGACAGTGAAGATATCATCGAGTTCCCAATGCACATTCCTACCCGAGACGTCAAACTTCATGAAGAAGAAGACATTGAGTACAAAGACGGAAGACTGATCAAATCCAATGGAACATTGCACCTCTCCATAGACTCATCATCAACCAGCAGACTCGAAGGGAGCGATGAGTTTTCAAATGTGTTTACTGCCCATGGGTCTTTCAGTATGGAGCTGAAACTCTGCAGGATTTCTGCACGATTTTCGCGGAAAAGAAGGGCCATCCAAAACAGTGTCGACGGTAGCTATTCAGTAGAGGAAAACCTCATGGCCACCTTTGATGAGAGTAAGTGAAAATGTACTTTTGAAATGTCCCTGTTACTGACATTAACTTCAGGGAAGATGGAGCTCGAGAAACTAGAAACTTTACGCCGTGATCTGAAAACACCCCAGCAAGTCCTTACAGCTCTTCAGAATATAAACAGTGGAAAAAATTGTAATGTGCTGTGTTTAGAATAATATGTCAATGATTGAGGTTAACACTTACAATGCAGTCAAGGCCCTGGGACAAGTGATGGTGTTAGAGCGTAAGTATGGAGCAATGGGTGTGTCTGTCACTGACACTGTCATTTATTACCTAAGAAAGGTAACACTTTACTTTCATTAAGTTTTATTCATTTTATCATCAAAATTTTAAATTTTAAAACTAAGATACAACCTGAAGAGGATATGACCCAGAGAGTGGCAATTTACTCTCTACTCAGTTCTGAAGGCAGCACCAAGGCTGAAAATGTAAGTGAAGTTGCTAATGTATACGGCGATAGGTGTGTACTTCAACATTCCTACAGGCATTGATGGAGAGGTTACTAGGAGAGGCTGTATCTGAATTAGAAAAGCAGTCGATA